ATATATATAAGTTGATTAATGAGGGTTCCAGGGAAAATTTATGCTGTTCAATATCCTGTGTTCACCCTCTTTTATTTTGTAATGCTCTATCTTTTTATAGAAGCATTAGTTTCTAAAGTTACAAATCACATATGCATTACACATGAATCCTGAGAGATATTCGATCTATTTCCCTTTCTTTTTCTATCATGGGCGTAATAATAAATATTATCCTAGTAGCAACTTGGATAATCATTCATTATAAAACATCTTTTCTTAAGCTTAACACTGTAATTACACCTCTATGATGTTTTACTTAAGCTTAACTTTCTGGTAACAACTCATCTGTCAACTAGGCAAAGATTTTATGGGCACGAGTGATCTTATGGTTAGTTTCACCAACTCAGTTGATGAGTCAGTTGGACTTCCATGGTGAGTGGTTGAGTTGTTTCAGTCTAGTCGAATATTTATGTACTGATCACGATAAGTGAACTATTGGGTGTAACTCCTTAATTGAATTAATTTGTTAAACTGATCCAGCAAAACTCATTAATAGGCATGATAAGCTATCTCCATTTAAATTTTGTGCCCTCTACAAAAATGCTGTCCATTTCCGACATCCTGATTTCGTCGGTTATCGACAGAAAAAGCTTCGCTTATTACATTTCTGACCGTTTATTGACTATTTTAAGGTTGTAACCAAATCACTAGTTGGTAATTTTTTAACTGATGAACATTCCGACAACAATAAGTTATCTACGTCTTACAGTCATAATCTAGTCATTAATTTCAAATAATTCAGAAAGCACGGTCCGCCATGAGTTTTCATCGATTTTGTAAACCTATGATAAGACAGTCGGAAATTAGCGACATGTATGCCTTAAAAAATGTGTCGCGGCCATCATTTTTATGGTGCTGGTGCTCCGTTGGTTTGATGGCAACTTTGCGTCAATTTTGTTAATTGAAGATAGTATCATCAGCAATTAGTGATTGGTAAACGATCAGAAAAGTGGTGCAGTCGTCATTTTTATGACATAGGTGTTCTGTAAAATTAGTGTTCAGGGTCCGTCAATTTAGTAACTGACAAGGAGGCCACCAATTAGCAGTCGGTTTATATCGAAGCAATCTCTGCTGAAGCCTCATCGGTAACTCAATGCAAATATAACGGACAAAATGAACTATAAGTAATGAAGACTAATATTTTTGAATAGTCGTCACAACGCAAAAGATAAGCTGAGCCATGGAAACCCTAGCAGAGCACCAACCGCCACCCTACAAAGCTCTATATATATATATATATATATTCCCTCTTTGGTATTTATGGTTACCTTGCCTGTAATCATAACATTTAATTAACCATTTGAAGCATTTAACAAACTAAAATTTTATTCCAATAGTATATTATACAATCAACAAACTAAATAACGAAACACGTTTAATTTAAAATTAATACAACATTATCGAATAAGAAAAAATCTGCTCAAACGTCCAACATAATCATATACAAATAAAATAAAAAATATCTCTGCTAATCCTCCTCCTATGTCCCCACCTCATCATCATCTCCTCCAATGCTTTCTTGCTACGTTGCTTTGCCACTGATGGAATGCATCTAACTCGTCCTTCAACTTGGCCTGATTGTTTTCCTTCAGCTTCAACTCATTTGAGCAAAGCTAAACCTTCACGGCGAATGCGGTAACACGCTTGAGACCTCCTCCTCCTATGAGGTAGAAGTAGAAGCTACAAATGCACTGGTAGAGGGTGAGCATCGTAGGCAAAGGCATTTGACAAAACCCGTAGGCTCAACCCTTCTTCTTTCTCCAACAGCCTCCCTCCACAGGTACTTTGATCGATCAAAATCATATATCGTAATACCGCCCGATGCTTATGATCAGCTATCCTTTGCTGAAATATTTTTTTTAAAAAAAAATAGTTACATACTGTTAGAGCTAGCATGCATAAACATCAAACAAGTTTAGCTCGGAAATTACCTGTGTGGCATGCGATTTGTTGTCCATCCAAATGGTCTGACTGCCTTCTATAGATGCGCTCATGTACATCGATAGTGGAGGGCTCTCATTCCAATGTCACAGTCAGTCAATTTAACTAAATAGTTAGAATATATGTTTGATCAGTAATAGAATCTAAAGTATAAATGGAATCTTACCAAACTCCACTTCTATTTTGTATGTTGGAGCACCCCACCACCTTGCTTGGAGGGCTCCATGCCTCCATAGTCTGGTCGCCGGTTCTACTTTGCATGCTCCCTCTTCTTCTGGTACTCCATGGAATGTAAGCCCTGAGTAGTGAGGCAAAAGCATCTTCTCCAAGCCACAAGGGATGCTGCTACGATTTCTAAAAATCACCAAACATGTCTCATAGGAGATTGCTTCCCTTGCTCTTAAAGTTGTGCTTGATGTGTGCTTCGTGCTTAGGGTGTCAGGAGAATTGTTTCTGTAAAATTACAAGGATTATGTTAGATTGATAAAAAAATAATGACAAGTTAAGATACTTGTGAATAATACGTACCACAAACTCCTAGAACAAAAAATCCATAATTTCCATCGAGATCTCCTTCCAGGACAGGTATGCTGAGTCATACTTGCTTTGGATGATATCCTTAATAGCATTAATAATCTGCGTTGGGGTTAGAACCTGAAAATAACCAATTGTTAGTTTTCTATTTAATTAAAAAAATAAAAGGATTACTTTCAATATCTTAAAAAAACCTATATGTTTCCAACAGGCTCCATACAACAGCGACTGGATGTCGACCTTTGCCTAGTAGATGCAGCGTGGGCCTCTATCAAACTCATCCTCGCTGCAGTCGGGGTGGAGGTAGGGGTGGGGGTAGGGGTCAGGGTGGGGTAGGTGTACTAGTGTGGGTGAGGATGTCGAAAAGCCGTTGGGGTGGGGATGGGGGTAGGTGTACGAGTGTGGGTGAGGATGTCAAAAAGAATGGGATGGGGGTGGGGGTGGAAAGCCAAAAGCCTCTCTTGATGTGCTTCTTTGATATATAACATTGTACTTCACGCCCCCTCTACGAGCAAGGAGGGAGACTGATCCTATCTCTGGCTGACATTCGCAACAAAGAAGATAAATTTAATTAATTAATGTGCCTAACAAAATATTATGCACTAAAATAAAAGCACAACAGTACTTAGTAAACATCTAGCATAACTGTTTGCAGTAGCCAACTTCACAAAACTATAAAATGCATACTACAAACTAGTAAAACTGAAAAGCACAAACGTACGCAATAAACTAAAATATGAAACTCTGCAGTGGAAACTACAAGCTAGTCAAAATGAAAATGAAATAGATGAGTACTAAATAGTCTAGTGCGCAACAGTAAAGTGAAATCTACAGACTTATGATACTGATGCTTTAAATATATAAAGTAACTTACCCATCTTACTTAGTATAGTCTGAAGAGTGGCTGCAGAAAGAAGATTAATTTCTTCATTTCCCCATTAGTGTCCTATAGATTGAGCTTCTCATGGATAAGATCAAGTGAAAAACATAAATATGATATTTCAATTTATTTATGAGCGGAATCAATATTATTCTGAATATAATTGGTGGCTCTAGGTTCATTCATTATGATAGTTGCCCAATCAACTTTATATTTTGCTCTATGGGGATATCAGAGATAATAAACCTGACTCACTTGTCAAGCTATAATGAAAGGATCAAAATTAACATACCTTATGTTCACTTTCACTTCTACAATATTATATGGTTTTTTTAGCCTTGTTTCACGATTAGGAACATGATTGAACCCGACATAGTTGAATAGGAATACATTTTCTCCAATAGAGTCAGGACAAGATTGTTCAACAACTTCTTTGAGAATCTCAAAATAGTATATGTCGTTGTCAGATTTATTATATGTTATAACACAAAACTAGAATTATAAATGATTTTTTCTTCAAACCAGAATCTTGTTTGAAACTTGTACCATTTACATCATAAATTTGCTAGGTTTTCACGATGTACATAGGTCCACAAACAAGATAAATAAGGCCTTGATATGTTATTCTATTTCTCTAGTCATGAATCTATTAATACATAAGAAATCTCGTGCTACAGAAAATTCACGTGTCTTATGGGAAACTAATTTGTCAATTTTAACTCACATACCAATGGGGGAAATTATCCTTGATATCTATGTTGGTGTCATCATCTTCAAATGAATTTAATGCATCCATTAATAAATTCTTTACACATTAAACTATTTTTGAATTAGCTCATTATGACATTTTCCACTCGAATGAGTGAACAATTGAAATAAAAAAATATCTTACTCAATAAATGGTTGAACTTCATCACAATTGAGAAAAACATAAAGCGTCATTGTTTGAAGTTCTTGATCAATAAGATAACATGATGTGCACCTCCGCAATACTTCACCTGACTGCTAGAAAATATAAAACGTTAATGAAGTC